TCTTTTAAAATATTCACGAAAATCGTATAATTTTTCATGCCTTACACTGGTATAGCTTCTTAACGACGACGTCTTTACTGTATTCCACAAATTTTCATTGAAGTTTAAATCCGTGCACTGCGTGGTTGTTATGTGGTTGTTCTAACGGTTATCAGTCCCCGTTGGGATTGTGAGGGTTATCAGTGTTGTCGATGTCATCTAACGGGAGGCGCAGGAAACGTGCTGTTTCGACGGGGTCGGACCAAAGGGAAAAGGGTGTTAGAAGGGTGGGGTTGGTAAGGCATGCAAAGAGGTGGTCAGTGTCATGTCCTCGTTGCATGCAGGACATACGTTAGGTATGTCAGGGTCTATTCTGGATAAGTAGGACTCCCTTCCAGTGAATGGCGTTATTTTATTTAAATCACAACCCATCGCAGACGAAGAGCTCGAGCTGCCGCGAGAAACGCGAGTGACCCTAGCGCAGCTTCATTCTGGATACTGTAGGAGGTTAAACTCCTACTTGTTCAGATCAGACCTCGACATATCCAATATATGTTCTCCACGCAATGAGTCTCCGTATGACACTGGTCACCTCTTTGCGTGACTCGTCAACCCCACTCATCTAACAAACCTTTCCCTTTTATCCGACCCCGTTGAAACAGCACGTTTCCTGGGCCCCACGTTAGATGACGTCGACGACAACCTGGAAACCCTTACCATCCTAACGGCAACTGATAACTGTTAAAACAGCAACAAAAAAAGAAATAATGAGTGATTTATAGAGTTTATTTTTGTTCGTCGAGAGAATATTTTACTTATCAATTGCCTACTCAATCCCAAGTAGCACCTCTTGGCAAGAGTTATTCTGGGTTGGTTTTCGAGGCTGACAATCTTGTTGGTGTTAATACTGGTTCCAAGGCAGAGGAAATTATTTGCGACTTCGAAATTGTGACTGTCAACAGTGACGTGAAAGTCTAGTGGCGAATGCGACTACTGTTTGTTTCAGGAGTTATTTTGTTTTGCCTATATCACTACCAGAGCCATCTACTTTGCTTCCTTATCTAGAAAAAGCAGAACAGTACGGATGTTGAGGCCAATGGTGTCAATATCACTAACACACGCCAACAGCTGTACAATCCTATAGAAAATTGTAAATGCCCGATTACGTTCTGCAGCACGAATTAGTTTCTCCAGCAGTAGATTGAAGAAATCGCACGATAGGAAGTCGCTTTGTTTGAAATCTTGTTGGGTATCGAGCGGATCGGAGAGGTCCTTCCCAATCCTGACGGAGCTTTTGGTATTGCTCAAAGTCACTTTACACAGCCGTATTAGTTTTAAGGAGATACAAAATACGGACATAGCAATATAAAGGCAGCTCCTGGTCGCGCTCTCAAAGCAGCTTTTAAATCGTCGAAGAGGTGGTGTGTGTCGATTAATTTTYACGCGTTTAAGATTTGGTGCATGGTGAAAATCTGGTCAGTTGTTAATATGTCAGGTCTAAAGCCACACTGATAAGATCCAAACAATTTGTTGATTTGGCGCAAACTCTGATGTCTCCCTTTTTTGGATTGAACAGAGCACACTTAAATTCCAATGGTCGAGCTTGCTTTCGTCCAACAATATTCCACAAAGAACCTGATGCATGCTCCTTATTAGTTCTCCGCCGCCGTGTTTGAATAATTCGGCTGGCAATTTATCGGTCCCCGCCAATTTGTTCTTCAGAGAGGTAATTGCTATTCTAATAGAAAATCGTTCGGCTATCTGTTGTCATTGCAGCTTCTCGAACCTTCCTTGTGTTTGTTGGCGTGCGTTTTTGCTGCACAGAGGCGGGTGCGAATCTTGGCTGCAACAAAATAGTGGTCCGAGTTGATGTTAGGACCTCGGAGCGTAAGCACGTTTAAAACACTAGAGACGTTTCTTTCATCCATCGCAACATGATCGACCTGTCGTAGCTTTTAGATCGAGATACAGTCAAGTAGCTTGATTTATTTTCTTATGCTGGAACCTAATACTACAGATGACCATATTTCGGGTTCCGGTGAAGTCGATCAGCCATCAACCCATTTACGGACGTTTCGTCATGGTGGCTGAATTTCTCAACCGTTATGTTAAAAGTACCTTCTTTGTCCACCCTGACCATAGGTGTACTCCAAGCGCCCATAGAAGGCATCTTTGGTCACATCGTCCTTCTCTTCCATCGGGGCGTGGGCGCAAATCAGCGATTCAACTTCGATGAAGATCGTGGCTAGACGTTCTTCCACCGGAGTGAACGTCAGTACTCCGCGAGGGAGTCTCTATCACATCACGAGTCCCACTCCAAGCGCTCCTCTATATGGCCGCTCTAATAAATGCCACAACGTAACTACTCGCCTCAGTCTTGTACCATCTATTGTATTTTATTCAGGCGCTCTTACACTGGAATAAGTTGGGTATCCCTATTGTCGTTACTGTCTCGAGAATGACTGACCGCAAGACAACTTCATTGTTGCTGTACTAAAATCTTTCAGCTTATTGAAATTTAAATATTTTGAAGTCGTGCTGTCGTCGTTCCCATAAGACTGTGTGTTTAAGTCTTTGACAGATGCCACCTATGTGTTCTATGCATAAAAAAACGCATGAAGTCATCTTGCTCAATTGTGAAATGCCGACCACTTGCGTATATGATTACTTGCCCTTTTTTAGCAAATGATAAGGCTGCCTGATATCGATCAGCGCTGATCGATTTTAGGTACCGCAGAGTGGGTACGATATTCAGCGCTGAATTTCGCGCGTTTTCTGCTATTATACTGGCAAATATTTGCTTTTTAATCTAGTAAAATTATTTGTACTTATGCTGGTGAAAAAGAAAAATTGGATCCTTATCCGCGAAAGTTTTTTGACTATTTCAACGCGGATCGGCGGACTTCTTTAGCAGAAAAAACGCAAAGACATTGGTATCAAAACTACCTCTATTGGTTCTTTATATAAAAATACATTAAACAACTTAGACACAATTCACTCACAAACTGAAGACTTTCTTGATCACATTCCAGTGTTGGAAACTGTTGTAATGGGCTTAAAATCCTAGACCACAAGACAAAAGATACGGAAGTAAAACACAAAGATAAACAATTATATGTATATAGGAATCAATCTTTAAAAAAATTTAACATATAAAAAAGGAATATATGTAGATGATAATCAGAATAACATTACAAAATAAAATAATTGTTTGAAGGATTTAGAAATCTCAGATTCGTTCGCTGTTCATACTATGCAAAAGATATCGAAACAGAAGAAGAAACCTTTAAATTAATTAATAAATAACATAAAAATGAAACTGATCACATTGATATTGATGAGAATTATTTTGGTTTAAAACGTATAATATAAGTAATTTATATTTCCAATTTGAAATTTGGAAACCACAAATACATTAATATTTGCTCCACTTAACTGAAACCACAACAGATATAAAATAAATAATACAAATGGATGTCTACAAAAATACAAAGATTATTTTTAAACATTTATTGACCAAAATGGTCAATTGGTGAATGGTCGAAATTTGCTATTTTATTATTACCTCCAAGGTTGTACCAATGAAACTATAATAGAAAAAATTTGACTTTACAAATCACAAAATATGTATTACACTAAACTAATATGCGATAATGAATTCAAAAGTGTAAACATATTATAAAATGCTATTTAAAAACAAAAAATATATATCTTAATCTAGGGAAGCCTAAAAATTCAGAGCATTGACGATAGAGCAATAAAGCCTAAGTATTAAAGAAAAAATTAGCAAAGCAATTGAATATAGTAATAATTTATACCATTAGGTAACAAAAGAAAAAACATCAGTAGTAAAGTATTGGTTATCTACCGAAAATATTAATGTATTATAATTGCTAGCGTAAAGTCTTGATCTTAACTTTATACTTGTAAAAATTCTCTGGAATGATGTAAACAAAAGACTGTCTTAAAAAATCGGAGCTATTAAAAAAGTATTAACCTGATAATGAGTAAAACAGTATTTTTTATACATGTTTTTTTTTAGAATTCTAGAAGTGTGTTATTTCTGTGTGCAGCCAAATCGGTAAGCGGTAAAGCTTAGTATCCAGCTCTCAAGGAATGTAAAAACTTCATATAAAAAGACGCTTAAGAAATGGTCAAAATGGTAAATTTTTGCTAGTATGCAGCTCTGAAGAAATTTACTACTAATTTTTAATACATTTTTTCAATGAAATGCGTATTTGGCAATCCTGGCTTTGTAAAGAAAAAATTCATCAACAATTGTTTCGTGAAGGAAATTCAAAGTAATCGTTAAATTTATGCTAATTGAGTTAAAATCATTAGTATGAACTGTAGTTTATTTTTAAATGTCTTATAAACTTACCAATCTTCAATAACATTCCTTAATAGCCCTGACAGACGACAGCGCTAAGTTGCCTTAGCGGGYTTAAGTTACATTTATTTGCGCATTTGACCCATGTTAATGCAAGTTTGTAATGCACAAGAATTTCGTGCATTTAGCTAAAGTTACCAAATTTTAGTAGGCAACATTGGTTAAAAATTACAGATTTTTGCTATTGTGAATGGTGATTGACAGAAGGAAGAAGATAAAAACGTAAGCAAAAGATTTAAAGAAAGCGCCAGTAGTTATGTGCCAGTATATTTATAAAAACTAATTTTAATATTTTTTAGATGGAGGTGAACAAACAGAGAACTATGTGGACAAATAGTGATGAAGTTGTGCTAATAGATTTGTTGCGGAGACTTGCGACGCGCTWAACGTAATTTGCCCATCTATGCCGACATATCTGTGCAAATTGCGCACATGTTCAAATACGGAATCTTACACAAAAATATAGGTTAATATGTATCCACATAACATTGTTAACATTAACTTTTGTTAAATTACAGAGAGGAAAAGAAAAAAGTTGAGCCATCGGGGGGCAGCCCGTCGCTTTGGAAACATTTTGATGCGGTCCATCAAGTTATCGGACTGACAGCAGCCTGCTGAAGTATACGAATCATTTACTGTGGTAAGCTGAGTTTTACACGTTTATTATTACAATAATTTTTTCTTAAAACATATCGAATTCAACATTACTTTCGTTCCAGTCATCTATGGCTATAGGATCACCAGAACCAATATCGCCAGAGCCAGAACCAATGTCGCCTGAACCGGTGTGTACGCCAGTAATTACGTTGACGAACTCTTAATGTCGCCATTAGGTAGCTCGACCTCATCAGCGGGTGCATCTACAAGTAAAAAGAGAATTTACATGGGCGAACTAATAAAAGTGGCAAAAGAACAAAACGAATTGCTGAAGACGGTGGTGGAGGACGGGAAAATATTGACTGAGAGAGTTGCTACTGCAATCGAAGAACAAAGTAGTAATACAAAAGAGTTTATAGGTAGGAAAAATATTTTAGAAGAAATGTAAAGAATGTGATTATTTAAATTGAATATTAATTTTAGAAAAAATGTGATAATGATAAACATTAATTTAAACTGAATATTAATTTTAGAATGTAATGATAAAATGGACTTAAACTAAATATTAATTTTGGAAATGTATTGGAAAACAAATAGCTACTGCTAAGTACTGTAAGTATTTTTTACCGTTTTAGAAACTCATTGCGATGGCATTCCTAATTGCTGTCACTGTTGAATCATTTTCTCCTAATGTTGTTGTATGATTGAGTTGATGCCTTGTTGCATCTTCTGCTGCGTCTTGAATCCAAGCTGAGGAAACTTCATCGTTCTCAATCTTTAGAAAATTGTGCAAAATTCAACATGCTCTAATTATAATATTAACATACTTTTTCGCATAATTTTTTGAAAGCGCTTCTATCTACGAGAAAGTTTTCCTTGAACCTTGCTTGGTCTATAGCAGGGATATCGTGCTCCCAAAATTTACCACTTCGGTACTTAAAATATAATTTTTTTAAATAATTAAAATTATTATTAAAAATTTAAATATTTATTTACTTACGACTTTCCAAACATTTCATATGTGTGGCTGAGCGATTGTAATCTTAAGCTTGCGTTAGATTCAAGAATTGCTTTTACTTTCACTCTATTTTCTTTTAACTCATTTAGTAATAAACCGATTTTTTCGATATATTCTTTTTGATCTTCTAAGAATAACAAATTGCCATTAATAATCTTCTCTTATCCGTTGTTATTTCACTTTTTTTAATAAAGAAACAAATTTCACAATCAGCTGTCTAAATGCACAAATCTGCCGTCTGTCACCATAAAATTTCAATTCGCATTTGTGTTGCTGAAGGCCAATTAATTATGCTCGTCTGTCAGGGTTATAAGGTTGGTATCCAGGTCTCAAGTAATTGCTCAAGAAAAAAAATACATTATGTCTTCAAGTAACTCTGACAGCTAGTTACGAATTGTGAATGATCTACAATAGAAGAACAAGAGAGAATAAACAAAATAAATTAAACTTTGTGCGTAATATGTATCTATGTATGTGTGTTGTAACATAAATATTTTCATTGCGATTAAAGGAATGTTGTTAATGATTGGTAAGTTTTATACAACATTTCGAAAAGAACTATACTTCATAATAATGATTTTACCTAAGTTAGGATGATTTTAACGATTTACTTTGAATTTCCTTCAAGAAACAATTGTTGATTTCACGTTTCACGTTTCAGCTTAGTATCCAGTTTTCAAGAAATGTAAAAACTTCATATTATACTATATTACTATATTACTTCATAGTATGTAACTCTAGAGAAATATAGTACTAATTTTTAATAAATGTTTTCAATAAAATGAGATTATGGCAAACCTGGGTTTGCGAAGAAACATCAAACAGAGAACGTATAATATAGACAGAGAACGTATATTATAGAGAAGGTTCACGTTTCACGTCGCTTATCGAGGTTACGACTTATTGAAGTTTCACTGTAATGCATATACATTACATTAGACATGCGTTCATATGTAGATATGTCACCCGCAAAAACTACAAACATTGCTTTACAAAAACAACAATCGTTTATATCGTTATATGCGTACATATGTATGTAAATATGTGCGTATGACATTCCCACGCAAATAATACATACACAACATACATACTTATATGCGATCACATGTAGTTATGTATGTTACTGGCATAAACTACAAATATTGTTCTACAAAAACAACAAACGTCCCAAATAGCATCAGCAGCGTCACAAGTCAATATAATAATAATACCCAACGATTACCCTCCTCCCGCCCAACCGAAGCGAGGGCCGCAATCCGCGAACGAGCGGAATCAGCCGAGTCATAAAAGGCAAGGGAGTTTTAAGCGTTGCGATCTTAAGCTGCTCAGCTACAGAAAATTTTAACAGCCAAAACTAAGAATTTAGACTAACGAAGACTTTAACTAAGAAGAAGTTTATAATTTTTAAATGTTATTTGTTAAGAGTAGATAAAATAATTTTTTTAATGGTAAAGAGTGAATCTGTTAGATCAAATGTGCTGGAATTAGAATTGAAATCGTGACATATAMGGCGGAATGGTTCGTTTAACTTGAAATTTGTTCTAGAAAATTTTAAAAGTAAAGGTCTAAACTGCCTGGTAGAGCGAGCGGGAATGTTAAAATTAATATCAGACAAGATAGATGGGCTACAGACTGACCCATTGATGAGTTTTACAAGAAATATTATACCAAGCATTTCCCTATGACTAGCGAGTGTASGGAGATCTATAAGCTTTAAACGGTTAGTGTAAGGAGGAAGATTTAAATTGGAATCCCAATACAAATGATTTAAGGCAAAAAGTAAAAGCTGTTTTTGAACGGACTCTAGTTTCTCAGAATGAACTTGATAAGAAGGGTTCCATACCACGGAAGCATACTCTAATATAGGCCTCACCAAAGTAAAAAGAATTTTTGTGGTAAGCGGATCTCTAAATTCTTTAGACAACGTTTAACAAAACCTAGAGCACCTTTAGCTTTAGCAACCATGGAAGATGTGTGAAGATTAAAATTGAGTTTGGGGTCCATAGTTACTCCCAAGTCAACAAAAATGCATACTTGCTCCAACCTAAAGTTTTGTATTACGTATGAAATAGGGTCTACAGATCTACGTGAAAAGCACATCGTTTTAAA